ATTATCGATATGGACGTGATATCTACAATCTCCTAGGGATTCACCAGCAAACAAAATCCTCAGGTTTACACCAAAGATATGAACTATAATAAGGATGATTTAGTGAATAGTGAGAATAAGGTATTATAGGGACTTCTTTATATAAGAGATTGGCAAGAAACAGTAGTTTTATAGACAATGACTAATTGAATGATGCTCATATACTTAGCTCAAAGCAATGATGACAGTCTAGATAAATGGCCACTTAAACAAATCTAAATACTAATACGACTATACATTAAGATTGAGCTTGATTGATAGACTTCAGTCTAGCTCTCCTTGTAAACAAAATACATAGGGGTTAGACTATTCAGAGAGTAGGTAAAACAACAACACGTCCCATATTCATGTATCGAGGAGACATTTACCATTTTTATTACAAAACAGTACATTAATTGTGAGAGCCAAAAAAAAAAGAACGAATGATATTAAAAATCAAGTCAAAGATGTAATGACTTTAGGTATGTAAAAAGTAGGAAGCTAATATATTAATTTCCTTGCCATAAATGCCTACAGAGCTCACCCATATGGGAAGGAAAAAATAATGTAAACAAAAAACATTAACTCTCCTATTGAATCAAGAAATATACCTCTTTTTACGTGAAACCAACTATGTTTTCATCTAAAACTTCTCTCATACGTCGATTCATCTAATTGGAGTGAAGGTTGGCAGTGCGGAGAAAGTGTATTTTTAGTAATGATATGACATTAAATATTATTATGCATTTTCACCATTAATTCAATTCAAAGGTGTAACACACGATCATACAATAATTTTGTATTTTGCTACCTTCTGTAACTATATTTTACACGATATTACTTGGTATTATATGAGCAAAGACATAAATCGAGCCAAATTGCAATGCCTTATAAATGTACTCCACTCAAACATAATGCTTAGAACAAATGTATTCCATTTTTATTTCATTGCTCATTATGGATTTTTGTTTTGCTTAGGAGGTGAACATGATATACTCCACTCAAACATAATGCTTGGAACCAAGTTTGTGGCAATTATAAACACATTGTAAATGTAAGCATGAGAGGAAGAGTTCAATAATAGATATATGTATTATGATTTATATGCCCTAAACACACTGAAAGGCCATCAAGCCACAAAATAGATCAAGCATGACTACAAAATAGTTACCAGTGCACAGTAGTTGGGATCATATATGTTCCCATGCATCAAAGGCCCTACATATTCACTCTAATAACCTCTATTCCACACAACATAATTGGGATCATACACATTCCTATGCTCTAAAAGCCTAATATATTAAATCTAATAACACCTATTCCACACACTGCAGTTGGGATTATGCATATTTCCGTGCTCCAAAAGTCTAATAACACATATTCCACAAAACAACCTAATGAGAATAGCTACATCGATCTTCTTAAAATACATAAAGAGACCTAATTGTGTTGTGTAAACATATAGTAACTCAGGTACTCCCATTCACCAGAAGAGCTCTCCTCACAACTATTATCTCTAAGAAAGTATGGTTCTAGTACACTTTTGTTTTGCACTAACATAGTTTTATAGAGAGAAAGAATATGTAGTTTGAGAAAAGAATTAATTAAATAAGCAATTGACTTAGGAAATGGTAGATACAAATACGACTATTATCTACCTTGCTGTTTTTTGACCACTGTATAGTTCACAAAGTTCACAAGCTTGTTCATTCTCTTGAAGGTAGTTCTTCCATGCTTCCTTAGCACAGTCACCAAATAGAACACACCTCACCTCTATACAAACCAACACCAAAAACTAAGCGAAGCACATGATATAGGACCACAGAAATTTCAACACTTGAGAAAAAGATCATATTCATATTGTGTGTCTTGTATGACAAAAGTTAGCACATGTGTGAGAAGCCCCTTAACCCTTGCCCATTTAGCTTTTTCAATGCTAACCAATAACCCACAGACATCTAGAAGAAGAAGAAGAGGCAAGTTACCAAAGCAAAGTAAGCATTAAAAAAGAATGATAAATCCTAGTATAAGGTGCTCAGAATCAACCTCTTACTCTATATCCACTTGAAAGCTCCCTTAGGATTGCATCAACAAACCAAAGCTTGAAGCAGTGAGTAGGGAACAGGTAATTACGCTCTTGAACCAAAGTACTATAGAAAAGTATGATGTAGGGGTTGGAGTGGATGCCCTCACCTCTAATACCAACTTTGAAGTATTGGATCACGTAGACATTCGACTCCATCATGAGGTTGCAGAATCGATCAACCAAATCATCCCCTACAATCCTCAGCATCATTCTCATATTCTAAAACCAGGAGAAGAAGTTTAAAGTTTAAATAACAAACAACAACACTTAAGACAATACAGTATAGTTCATTCCTGCTCATCAAATACAATCATGTCTAGGGAGATGACACTCTTTGGGTATCCATAATCCCTTTCTGTAAAGTCAAAACCAGTCCTTGTGAACTGCTTGTCAACCTTAACGATTATCTTCCAGGTCTTCACAGAAGGAGAGATCTCATCAAGCCTATCATATTTTAGGGCCATGGCAATTTACGTGTGAGAGAAGCAAGAAAAACCAATATAGGGATCATGGAGTGCAGTGTGTGTTGGAGTGAAGCTTTGAGCAAGCATTATATAGCAGAAGAAAGTGGGGTTAATGGTAGGAATTAAATGCAGAACGTCTGTGCACATTACCTTGAATAGTCTCTCCTGCTTTTAAGGAAGCATTTCAGAAGATTGCAACCACACCCTATTATACTGAGCATGAAGGAAGTCACGTGTGCTATGCAGTAGGGAAATGCGTTTTTGGACAGATTATATAGCGAGGCTGCACATAGCCCAAAAGTCATATTTAAGCCGTATTGTTTATAACAATAGTCAATGAGTGTGTAGCCGATTAATGAATGGAATAAGCTCGACTAATTATAGAGCATAGATGCTATATTTATGTAGACTAAATTTTTAACATATGCAATTAGTACAATGACTACTTTGAAAACAATTGGATAAATATTAGACATAAAATGAATTAGTATCTTATATTTAAAACTAAATTAAAAGTCAAATTAGTTTTTTCTATTAATTATTATAGGTAGTATAATGGAACTGAATTCTGGGTAGACAAAAAAGTTGATTGTTGTTGGGAACAACATTAGAAAGCACTTTAAAAAGGTACTTTTACAAAAGGTGAAATAAAACTCCTTTTATATACTTACTTTGCATATGATAAAATTATTTCTAAAATTATGGCTTAGTTTTCATCCAAATACTCTTGAGTCTCCATAACAAACCCCAATCAAACATTTAAATGTTTCCTAACAAACCATTATTGCCATGTACCTGTTCTTGTAGAATCATGTGCCCATCTTTTACTGAGCACTAACCACTACCATTCCCCTTCCATTCCAATCGATCTTTGTATTGGAAACGTGGGGTTGGAATTGTGTAAAATTGTTTGACAATGGGGATAGGATACAACGAATGCAACAAGGCAAGATTCCTTGCGCAATATAAGGTCAGCTACATCTAGTGACAGAAACAAACGACCACTCAACTACAACAGCCACCAATATTTATCACCGCTTCCAGTCCTTAATATAAAAGTTAAATAACTAATTTGAAAAGATTAAGAAAATTAGTTAAGTTAGTTATTTGTAACAAATGTGTGTTGACTTCCTTAAATTACCTTTATTTACTGATGTATATTGAAACTATACTTGGATGGATGGAAATACATTATAAATTTTGGAGATAAAGTGAATAGAGGTTTCATATTTAGAATCGTCAACTAGTTTTTATGTTTAAGACCGGAAGTAATATATTAATCAAATATATTGAGTAGATTTAGAGTAGGAATTGGGCTTACTTGTAAGAGTTTAGAAATTTAACTATCTCCATTCGAACTACCAAAAAGAGTTAAACATAAATTTGAAGGAATCTTTGCGAGTGTTTTTCCTTAGGAAAGGGTTTTTGTTAGACTTGATGTGTATGGCATACGAAAGAACCCCGCTCTAAAAACCATAGTATTAAAAACCAAACCGGCCTGGCCGGTTCCGGCCAAAAACCGATGAACCGGCTGCTTGTCTAGTCCGATTGACTTCCTAAACCAGTAAAAATATGAACTGGCAGGACTCAGCATAAACCGGGATAACTTGGTAATAACCCGATTAACCCGCCAAGTTAGGCGAGTTGATCAGGTTAACTTTCTAACTCACAAGAAATAATGGAGGGCGTCGCAAACAATGAGAGAGAAAAAAGTGAGAGGAAAAAGATGAAAGAAAGAGGCAAAAAGCAAGTGGCAAGAGTGAATGCGTTTACATTCGAAAAGAACGGCACAAGCTGTGGCGTCACCATAATGGATTCTGATGATAAAAGTGAAGATTGAAGAGTTAGCATTGATCAGCGAATGAAAGAGGTGACCTCCACGGCTAGATGCAGATCTTCTTTGTGTGTGAGGTTTCGCGTTTAACTCCCAAGATAAAGAAATAGTGACTTAAAAGCTAGAAGAACAGTGATTTGACAATAGAGTGTGAGTGAAATGATAAAATGACATTGGGAAGAAAGAAAATCTGACAAAGGACAAGGAAGGGCACGTGAATGAGAGAGAAATAATGAGGAAAAAATATTTTATATACTAATAATAAAATAATTTAAAATTATAGTTTATTAGTAAATATTTTTTTACACATTTTAATTTAAGTATATTATTTTAATTATTACCGGTTTGACTCCAAGTTAATTCTGATCTAACTCACTAATCCTTAATTCACTATCTTGACCGGTTCACTAACTTTTAGTACCTTCCTACAAATTAACTAATGGAATTGAGGAACTCAAATTCTTACGAGGCTTTTCTTTTAAGATAAACCTATTGATAAAAGTTAGAAAAACGGACTAAGCCGCTGTAGCGTCGGCCCATAATTCTCACTTCACAAGTCAAGAGCTACACTCGTCGTTTGGGGCCTGTAGCGATAAATTGGCTTTTGCCATTCTCGCTTCCCTTGGTCACTCCCCGTCTTGGCGCCCTCGCCCTCACACTGTCTGTTACTCCCTCTTGGCGCCTTCCCTTCCCTTCGACGGACACCGTGCTCGAGTGCTCGACCAGACAACCGCGAGCAGACCGGTCACCACCACCAGCGCAGCCGCCCAGTCCCCGTCGTTCATCCCTCCTGCCTTCGTGCGCAGTCGCAGCTCGACCAGACCTGCACCTGCAGACCAGTCGGCAGTCACCAGCCCAGACGCCAGTCGGCGCCGTCTCCCCTCCCTCGCCCAGCCTCAGTTGAGCAGGTATCAATCTGATCTATCAGGTCGTTTTTTAACCCTATTTCAATCCCCCCCCCCCGGAACTGCAATATTTTTCTTCGTTTCCTGCAACAGCTCTTTAGGTGGGTTTTGAGTTTATCTATTGTTTCTTCAATCATTCTATTGATGCAATTGTTGGGTTTTCGTGTTGTTGTGCTTAGTGAACCATGGGTTTGATTCATTAAACCGGAAATAAAAATAATAAGCAACTGGTAGTGAACTTTGCGTTTGATTTATTAAATCCATATGATCAAGAGTAATACTTCCTCCGATCCTAAAACAACCAAATCAACTGTGTGATACAACTTATAGTTGTGCTTGTGGAAAACGACTTTATTTTGGAGTTAGCTTACGAATACAACAATATAAAAACCATTTGCTTCCACGATCTGCAAATGGAATTAAAAAATAAAGATAAGATTTTCCTCTTGGGAAAATTTTGACGGGATGAAAACCTTTATATTTCTCGCTGTTTAGACTTGGTCTCCCTCTGTTTTGTTCTTACCTTGTGGTCATAGCCTCTATGTTGTGTCTTATGTAGATAGCTTTCATGTTATTTTTCTTAGTTGATGAAGACGGGATGTACCTCACCTTCTCATTGTTGGCCCTTTTTCTGTCAATCAACGATATAGGATGGTATCTTAGGCAATTCGGATGATGCAGTACCAGGATTGTGGTTTATAAGGGTTGCAGGGAATCTGTTGCTAGATTAATGTAGAAATATATCGGAAAGGGTCATAATCTGAATAAATAAACTCTTAAAGCTAAGATTTCCATTGACAGTCATTGTTAGAAAATGATGGCTTATCGTTATTTTGAAAAGGAGAGAAGAGGGAAAGGATAGAGGAACAGGGTAGACAGAGGTAGAGAAACCAAGAGGAAAGGAGGGTTTGGTTTTTTTTTTTTTTTTTTTCTCTTTTTTTTTTTGGGGGGGGGGGAGATGAGAGAATTCTGAATAGTCTGAAACTGTATTACGCATAAGTCTTACTCTGAGAATTACATTGAGTAAGGTCTTATTCATAGTCTTAGGCTGCGTCACTTAAGCTAACGGTTAAATATCCTTACTGTCTTAACTACCCTTTGATTTTTTAAAAAAAATATTTATACACCAGAAAATGGCTGCGTCACTCAAGCTAACAGCCAAATATCCTTACTGTCTTGACTGCCCTTTGATTTTTTTTTTTTTTTAAATATTTATACAACAGAAACTGTTTCAACTGGTAGGAAATCATTTTGAAGCGCTAGAACTCTCTAATTCTGGTTGATGGATGTTTAATTTATGGACTAAGGGGTTGTCTTAAAACCTAAGCTACGTTGGTCAAGGATAACTTGTGGTAATTGTTGTTTGTAATGCGCATGCTTTACAGTAGGACAGAGACCTGTTTCGTAAAAAAGTATACTATGCAAAGCTGTTGTTAGATTTTCTTTCCTTGTTTGGTCAGGTTTTATATGAAATGTTTTAATTGGAACTTGTATATTAAAGCATTTGACTCTGTAGTACAATCACATTTACAGATTATCTGCTGGGAGTGGTTGTGCTTCTGTATTTGTGAAATTCGGCAATATAAAATTTGACAAAAATGCTTGATATCAGCATAACTGGGTTCATATACATTAGGTTCTTTTCATCAGCACCTGAGTACCCAACCAGATGGTTTTATTTCTTTTCTTAAACAATCACTCTTCAACTTGTGTTAGCGTGTCATGAAACACAAAACACACTCTGCTTTAGCTCTTTGCCATCTTTTGGGCTATTGGGAAGAGTTATTCCTCCAATCTTTGTGCTTCTGCAGTTCTGTAATGAAGCTGCTTGGAATCTAATTTTTCTTTTTCTTTCTCTAGTGATTTTATTTCAGATTCCCATTTTATCTTGTTAATCTTTCTCTCCCTTCCATTGAGGACAGTGGACATCTGGCAACATGCTGATGGGGTTGGGCAGACTATATAGATGTTTATATTTTCCTGTCTTGCATCTCTATATAATATTATATTTGGCAATTGTTGTGTGAAGCTTGAACTAAGAAGTTAGAGAAAGTAGTAACAATTGACCATAAGAAATTTGTTTTCATGTTATGCTGATAATGATGGCAATGCTAACTTTTTTTGAGAATGTTATTGGTTCATGATGTACATTGCTTCTCTTCCCCACTATGATTTGGTGATAAATCTGTCAAAATTAAATCACTAGGACCAATCTCTGCTATTTTATTTACTGTGGGATATAATACTTTTCTTTGTATGTCTCTTGTTCTTTGCACCCGCAGATTTATGTTGGCACATGTGTGCCTATTTTGATAAATTCCTTTTTAAAGAAAATAATTAAGAAATTTGACTTTGTTATCATACTGTCCCATGTTTATTGTATGTATTTATGTGCCAATGGTCATAGGTGATAGGCATCATTGATGGTCTTTTGCAGTAGTGAATGTTTTCCATGCCGATTTGTGTATTTCAGGTGAACAAAATGATGAATTTTGCAGCGTCGCTATGCAGAAGGATGAATATCAAGGAGCTTGTCTCAAATGCTCCTGTTTACAGAATCTCAAGTGGTATAAATTTCAAGATGGCTTTATTAGCTTATGTAATTGTATTTTTCTAACGAGAGATAGAATGTAATGATTTTTCCCCGTTAATTTGAGTTTAGATGTCTCTGGAGAAGGATTGAGTCTGGTTTTCAGACGATGGGCTACCAAAAAGACAGCCGGATCTACAAAGAATGGAAGAGACTCAAAACCCAAGAATCTTGGTGTCAAGAAATTTGGTGGTGAGGTATGATATTGTTGCTTTAAGCAAGAGTTTGGCTTATGGCAGACTATGAGAGGACAAATGGAGCTAGACCTGATTGTGGATCAAGTTTCAGGTCTACCGTTTAAAAATTGGAAGACAAGAAAAGTTAGGTTCACAATCTAATCAGTGATTAGCCCTGAACTCACTGCAGAATTCTCTGTTTCTTCTGGCAGAGAGTAATACCTGGAAACATCATTGTTAGGCAACGTGGTACCCAATTTCATCCGGGAAACTATGTTGGAATTGGGAAAGATCATACTCTTTTTGCGTTGAAAGAAGGTTGGGTGAAGTTTGAAAGAAACAAACTGACTGGTCGCAAGTGGGTGCATGTTGAACCCAAGGAAGGTCATGTCCTCCACCCTCTGTACGCAAATGTGGCTGCCACTGAACCAAAAGTTGCTGCTTGAGTCTGATGCACCAAATCTTACAAAGTGACAATGAATTCAGGTTACTTCTCAGGCTTATTCTTGGGAGAAACTTCGATTTGTGTTCTTTTAGTGTTTTCTTAATTCTTTTAGATTGAGTCAATGATTGGCTGCTGATTAAAGAGAGACATCTACATGCCATGGTTTTATTGAAAAAGCATGATAGCTTGCCCACTGTTCTTTTATGCATCCTCTCACTAAGAACTGCTGTTTCAGCTATTGTGGGATACTAAAACAACCGTGTTGAAAATAAATACAAGAGGATGACAAAATTTTAACCCCTTTATGTCGTGGGTTTGAACTAAAATGAATTTTTATGAGAAAAATTCAAGGACTTTCCTACACTCTAGGTCCATTGGGCTCTCCCTCCCTACCTATGTTTTAAGTTCACGCGAGGGGGACAATATTAAATGTGATTGGTTTTTAGTTTGATAAAAATTATTATTATAATAAAATTTATTTTTGGATATATCTTTAAAAAATCAGTTTGATAAATTAAAATTTACTTAGAAGTAATTTAGATTAAATTGATGCATCTAGTATCTCGGAGTATTTTTCTGGTGCTGAAAGTCTTTTTAGGAATATCAAACACCTTAAAGTATATTTTTAAGTGCATTTAGCATTTTGAAGTTTTTTCTTTGTCTTGGTGCTAAATGTACAGAAAAAATATTTGAGGGTACTGGATGAATCTAAAAAAAACTTTAAAGTGCTAGACATACTAAAAATATTTCCCTTTACTAGAAGTATTTAAAAAAGTATTTTAAGATGTTGGATGCATAGCAAAATATTTTAGGATGATAAATACACCTAAAAAAATATTTTGGAGTACTCAATGTATACTAATCCTAAGTCAATTAAAAGTTGTTCAAAAATAAAAAAATAACTTCCAAAAATAATTCAAAACAACTGCTAGCAAATGATCTTTGAAAAATATTGTAAAAAATAGTCTGAAATTAATCAAGAGAACTTTTAAATACGATAATATTTTTTAAATAGTTTATAATAGAAATTAATTAACGCTAGTGCATCAGTCAATTAATTCCATCTTCCATAATTGAAGTTGAAAGCTCTGTTTGGATAGAAAGAAAAGTTGGAAGGAAAGAAAATAGAAAGAGAGAAAATAGAAAGGAAAAAAAAAAACTGAAGAGAAAATATTGCCTTTCTTTCTGTTTGGATGGATGAGAGAAAATAAAAAAGAAAAAAATAAGCAAATATATAAAAACTAAAATACCCTTATTCCTATATCAAAATATATCATGTTATAAATTAAATTAAATATCATAATAAAAAATCATATTAGTGTTAATATCATTAAATAATTTAAAATCAAATTATTTGATAAAAATTTATTACCATGTGATTATAGTGTAAAAACCAAATAATTTAGTAAAAAAATTCTTTTTAAAGGTGAAAATTAAAAAAAAAGAGAGGATATTTTTTTAAAAATCAAACATGATAAAATGATATAAATAAATTACGTATTATTTAAAATTATTAATAAATAGTAAACATTTTAATATAAAGGTTGAAAGAGATGAAGAAATTATATATATGTATATATTAATTTGTGTGAATTTCCTGCATTGTTCACTGAATGTGAAAGAATGCAATTCATGTGTAGCTTTTGATTTTGGCCACAATATAATGAGATAATTTTGTTAAATTATGAAGTAGTCATAAGTAAAATTAAAAAAGAAAACTTGCATTAAAAGTGGAATGTGATATTATTGGGCTATAATTGAGGAGAGCATATGGGGAATATGAGTTTTTTCTTATTTGTGAAGAGAAAAGTTGGAGAGAAATAAAACGAGTCTCATTCCATTTTCTTCCCTACTTTTCTTTCCTCTCACATTTCTCTTCTCATCCAAACAAAAAAAAAAAACCCATTCTTCTCCTATTTTCCTCCTTTATTTTCTTTCCTCCCCATTTTCTCTCCATACAACATGGGGGAAGAGAAATTGACTAAAGCATGAGGAACCAACTTCTTTGAAGCCGGGGAAATCATCCTAATTTGTGACAAGCATACCCAACGTGAGAGTGAGGAGTAAAACAACATAACTAACTTCCAAATACATGATTCTTTGAACAACACTTAAAGCTCCCAAATTCTCTTAGAATCCATCCACCATTCACGTGTTCTTAAACTGTTAGGCTTCGGATTTGCTTAATAAGGGCTTTTTATCAAATTAAGTATAATATAAATTAAATACGAGATTGAATTATTTAATTGTTTAATCATAGTTCAAGCAACTAGTGCTTGAACTTAAAACTAGTTCAATTAAAAAAAAAAGAGTTAATTTTATTGGGATGAATCATGAGCCTTCTTTATTATTATTATTATTATTATTTAGATGAAGACAAAATGATTACATTGAATAATAATAAGAGTCTTCAATGTATAGTTAATAATTGGGAATAAGCAGTGGAAAAATGAGAAAAAAAGCCTATTGCAAATAAAACCCAAATGCAAATAGGCGTATGTCATTAGAATCCATATTAAATAATAACATGCAATAAGAACTCATATGTAAATAGTGATTCATCATTTGCAAGTGAACATCCATATCATGTAATAAACCCATATGTAAGTATAGATTCATCATATGCAAGTAGATATTTGTTACACAAATGAACATCTGTTATATGCATATGAGCATACGTATTACCATTAACCCATATGCAAGTAAACATCTGTCATATATGCAATTAGGCACCTGTTGTATGTAATTAGTATTCTTATTATACAATAAACTTATATGTAAGTAGGCATCTATCATACGCAAGTCACATGCAAAAGAGCATTCATTATGTGCAATTAGTCATATGCAAGTGAGAGTCCATATGTGCAATTAGCATCTTCTTCAAGGCAATGTGATTTTTTCCTATCACACTTGCTAAGACTTGAGGAACTCACACTTTTACTTTTATTTTTATGTCCCATTCCTTAATTACTTTTTCAAACGGAAATTTCTAAACAATTTTCTCATAATTCAACATCGTTAATTTATATTGTATTGTCTGTGTGCGTGTGTGAATTCATGTAAACACTATATAAAGGTTAAGTCAATCGATGATTTGATCTTGCGCCACGTCTTAGTGCCCATTTGGATTGACAGTAGAAAAATTGATTTATTTTCAATTTGACTTTAAAAATTTAACATTAAGTAAAAGTTAGATTGAGTAATGTACTTTTATTTAAATTAACTTTTGTAAATAAGTCAATTTGTAAAAATAAAAGTTGTTTGAATTATTTACTGAAAAAGTAAATTTAGTTATAAAATGAATAAAAAAGTATACAAATTTTATAATACATTTGTATTTTATGTATACAATATGATAATTTTAAGAGAAATATTAAAATTAATTGTGAAAATGAGTTTAAAAGACTCAATGTATTATTGGGAAATTTGTAAAACATACTTGTCCTATTTTAATTACAAAAATTAAATTAATTTTTATTCTGATTAGTCAAACATAAAAATTAAATCGAAAGTAAGAATTAAATTTCTTAACTGCTGAATTGTTTTAATCCTTTTAGGTAGAGACTATTAGTTATAAAAATAATAGTGACTAAAAAACAAAATAAAAATAATAATAGCGACTTCCTTCATTTTTCATGCGGGGGGGGGAGAGAGAGAGAGAGAGAGAGAGAGAGAGGATGATGACATGTGAAGGAGCAGATGGGAAATGCACCGTGACTATTGGAGGCAATAAGACATTTTTTGTTTTTACGACACATGGATATTTTTTCATTGGAAGTAATTTTATTTCAGAAACCATCAGGTACTAAATATAAAAATATTTTCCAACTAAATATAAAAATATTTTCCAATAAGCTTTGGAATGTTGATTCACCATGTTGTAAAGAGTTCAACTTTTTTTGCTGATCCAATTCCTATTAATAAAGCAACAAGAAGTTGCTTCAGCTTTATTGTGCCACTGGGGAGGATTTTGTGTTTTTTGTTGCCGCTGATCCAACCAAAGCGACCCAGCCTTACAATGCGTTTTCATTCAAAACGTGGCTTTTGGGATCGCTTACCATCAGTGTTTCTGGTTAAGACTCGTTGCGCAGAGTCGACTACTTCATCCACAAATCGAAATAATCCCCTACCTCTTTTAAGTAATGATAGAACTTCATCAAATTTTACATTGAAACTAAATAGTCTGCTGATCCTATTTATAGAACTTCATCAAATATTACACTGTATTTAATACTTTTTTCAGACTAAATAGTCTTCTGATCCTATTTAGGGTATATTTGGATTGGCGTTGGGCAAAACTGATTTCTAACCCAATTGATTTTTGTACCTGAAGTTAGAGTAAAAGTAAGTAAGTGTAATGCAATTTATGTTTGGATAGGTGCTTTTAAAAAGCCAATTGAAAAAGTTAAAAGTTGTTTGGATAATTAATAGAAAAGTTAGTTTAGTTGTAAAATGACTGAAAAGGGCATGGAGTAATGTTTGAAATTTTATATTTTTAATGTGATAATGGTTTTAAAAAAACATGTAAAATTATTATGATAAAATATAAATAGTTTATTTGTGAAATTATAGAATAAAAATATTTGTTACGGAGAAAAATTTGAAAATACATTGTAGATAATTAATTAAATATACATAATAGACAAACATGAATATAAATTAAAATTTATTTGGTCTCTAATTAAAGTAAATGGAATCACATAACTAATTAGATCGTAAGCTTTGCACAATTTTCCCATAAGTCCGTTAGAAAAGTTGATCCAGATTGCGTTGGATAAGTCAGTTAGAAAAGTTACTTTTTTTCATAAGTCAATTAGAAAAGAAGTCCCATCCAAATAATTTTCTGAGCTACAATAAGGCACAAACTTCAGTTTCACGCTTTCCCGTGTGCTTTTACCATTTGCAACAGTAATCCAAATGAGCCCTTATAGATCGCTTCCAGTATATTTCACGCAGACTAAGAAAAGCTTTAGACTCCATTAACTTTCATTTAAAATTTAATAACTTTTCCAACTTTATATCTATTTAAGATGCATTATACCTTTT